AATAGTTGACATGTAGTAAAGAGAAATACAAGGAGTCTGAAGAACTTACCACTGAATAGGTCCACCTGGGAATCTTCGACAGGATAGGGTTCATCCGGTTCTGAATCATTGGATGGCTGGGGAGCAATTTGCATTGCCCCTTGCAGAGAAGGTAGAGGTGCTGCAGGTGGTTGCAGTGGCGGAGGTGCTGGTACTTGTAGGGATGCTGCAACAGGTGCTTGCAGTGGCGGAGGTGCTGTATGAGGTACTTGTAGGGATGCTGCAACAGTTGCTTGCAGGGGTGCAGGTGAGGGAGCTGCAGCAGATACTGATTGAACAGCAGCAGGGATGGAACCTGCCAAAGCGGCTGCAATATTTGCTGGAAGTTGCAACAGGAGGTCCCGTATCTCGGTAAGGGTCCCCGCAATAACTGTAATGGAGGTTAAATGTTGCTCACTATGCATGTCTAAGGGAACTCCAGCATCAACAAGGGCTTTAACAGTACTTCAGATTTGAAGTGTTTGATGGGGAAAACAGTTGTCACTTCAATGGGGAGAAGCATTTGTCAAACTGGTATCATTTTCTCATAACATGAAATTAAATTCAGTCATCTTGAATGAATGTATTGATGTCCTGGTAACTTAATGGGACATCATTTTAAAAAGTCAAGATAAATGTGTTCCATCACAAATCAAATGATGTCAACATGACAAATTCCTCTGCCCTGCATTAGAAAGAAACATACCATCGTTTGAGGAGGGCACAAGGCTGGAGTACACAAGCTCGCTGACCACAGCTTGCGTTGGTTCCGCCTCCTCCACATTACCACCTGCAGAGGCAGTTTCGCCAGCACTAATATCAGCATCATTCACTATTGTGCTTGTCACGCCACTATACCGTTGAAGACGGGCCTGCCTCAACTTTTCCAAATCCATCTGCAAGAAACAAAAAAACTGCAATGGTACCATGCGAAGCCATTAAGTGAGCCCCCTGCTGGACACTTTCCCTACGCGTCTCCTCCCTATGAGATTCTTGACTTCACTCTGTTCGCACTGAAAACTGATACCTAACGACTTGCCACAGTTTGAAGCAAAAACATTTGCCTTTGAGCAACGTGCCTACAGAACGTGGCCTGCGGCTTCCCCTTTATTCCGGGGATGACATTCTACAACGAGGGCCTAACTATAGTTTCAGACGTTGGAATCGAAATAGCAAATAATTGAAACCAAGCGTATCGGGAAATAAGAACATGGGAAAAATAGCCAACCACTACCATTCTAGTGACACCACGATCACCTAACCCAAACAACTGGGCATAAAAAATGAATCGTTTTCAAACAGGGACAGACACAAATATAAAGCGTCCCTTAAAAACTGACGTAGAAATATGACGTAGAGATTAAGGAACAGTGAACCTTCAAAAACTTCCCTGTCGTTGTATACCGTGGAATAACTTTGCTAACCCGCTCCAACAGTCACCAGGAGTTACAGCGAGAAAACGGTTTTGGCGGGAGACACGTTCTGCGAGGTGGTCTGTGGTCTGCGCATGCGTCATGACACCAGGCCGCATTGGGCAGCAAGGCAGTGCGACGACATCACAAGACACCACTCACAGTACAGGGCAATGATGGCACATTTGTCTGATTGTCCTTATCATGTTTGGACATGATTTTTGTTATTTATATGCAAAGATATACGCTGACTTAGGAGTCACGCGCACGACTTGACTGCACAGTGGTACCTGAACCCGGTATATGCACCCACTCCCTGCCAGCTAATTTGAAGCGGCCGGTCTCGCCGCCACCTTGCCGAGTGGCAGGGTCGCCAACAGACCGCAGAAGGCAACGCAATGCGACGGCGTTAGAAGCCACCACTCTTTCAAATTTTCTCATAACGGAT